TTTTAATCTTCATGATTATTTATGTTTTGATTTGTTTTTATTATGATTTTAATGAATTTCTTATTCTGTAAAGCACTTTGAATTACTTTGTGTACGAATTGTGCTATACAAATAAACTTGCCTTGCCTTGCCTTGCCTAAGTGGTATTTTTGTTTCTTGTTTATAAATAAATATAATAATATAATAATAATAATAATAATAATAATAATAATAATAATAATAATAATAATAATAATAATAATAACTGCTATTGTTTGTTGTAGTTTTTGGTGAGGAAAAGAGTATTTCAGAAATAAACAAAGGTAAATATAATTTACTAGAGTAATGTTGAAAGAGAAAACTGTTTAATAATTAATATCTTATTTGTATTTCATAAGACCTAATGATGGATGATATCAGAACGGTAAGAAAAATATATGTATATATAATTAAATAATAGTAGATAATGACAGGTAATTATTACTCTGTACCAGTTAAACATAGCAAGAAGTTCAATTATTCCTGAAACTTCTCTTTGGAATTCTCCTGTTCCATATGTTTTGGAAATGGTCTAGGTAAGTTTGACCCTCGTTTATCTGTCTGAGCCGACATTGTTATGACAGATCTGAATGCAAAAGGAGTCATCCTGAAAGCGTTCGATCAGTTCAGACTGAAGTCATGCATCGACTTTAAACCGAGGAACAGTGAGGATTACTACATTACTGTGCAAAAACTTGATGGGTAAGTACTGGAGTTAGTTAAAAGACAAAACTTTATGCATTAACTTGACTTTCATTCCAGTTGTTGGTCATACATCGGTCGAAGCAGAATAAATGGACAGGAACTGTCTATTGGACAAAACTGTGACCAGATTGCTATTGTTGAACATGAGTTTTTCCATGCTCTGGGTTTTTACCACGAACAGTCCAGATATGACCGTGATAATTATGTCACTATTCATCTGGAAAATGTTCTTGAAGGTTACAGCATGACATTATATATATTGTATGTTATGTTATATGTTGTTGTGTGTTTTGAATTTAAGTGAGTTTTTTTTTTTCTTTACAGGTTTTGAGAATAATTTTAGAAAAGTTTCTGCAGACAGTAGCACCACCCATGGAACCACATATGATTATTGGTCTGTGATGCACTATGGTAAAAATGCATTTTCTAATGGAAATGGTTCCACAATTACTACCAACAACGTGGCATACCAAGACATAATTGGTCAGAGATATGAAGTGAGTGACACTGACATTAAAAAGCTAAACCTTCTCTACAAATGCAGTGAGTGCTAATTATTTGTATACTGTTACAATGGAGTCAAATGGTTTGATTAATAAATACAAGTTGTTTCACAGACTCCACCATCGCATTTCTAATGCACTGTAGTTTTTCTGATGGAACCATGTGTGAAATGACCAAATGCTCAAAAACATTAAATGGTTGGAAAATCGTGTCGCAAACAACTGGACAAGCTTCCTTTGACCACACAAGTCTAAACTCTACTATGCACAGTAAGAGACATTTCATTTTTTGTTTTATTTGTCCTCAAATCTGAAACCTAGAGATACACAGAATATAGATGGCACTCTACATCCCTAAGACAGCAAAAGATTTATCTTTAATAATAATTATTATATATATAATTATTATAATATATTAATGGAAGTGTATCAGACCAGCTCAACATCTGGTTCAGAGAGTTTCAAGATGAGCACGATGTCACAGGACAGCGCCATCTAGCTGCACAGATAACAGGTACTGCATTAAGCAATTTAAAAATATATATATTATTATTTATTTTTAGGAGGAGATTCCAATGAATGTCTGTATCTTTTTAGGTCAGTTAACATCGCACTGGCAGCTGCATCATGTTTCCATAAATGCAACAAAGTCCTTCCAGGTGGAGTTTGAAGTGAGAAAAGGAGCTGGAAATTCTACAGGTGGCATCTCAATTGATGACATCAATTTGTCAGAACTGGAGTGTCCACATGTTACACTGCACATAAATGATTTTGAACAAAGTTTAGGAAAGAGTCGTGTGTACTACACCCCATCTCAGCAATCTAAAGAAGGCTATGTGTACAGATTTGGAGCAATAGTCTATGAAAGTGGTTCAGAGGCAGTGTTTGTGCAGATGTTATCTGGCAACTTTGATAATCTGCTGGAATGGCCTGTCCCACGCAGACAGGTAGTTTTGCAATTTGTAGATCAACATCCCAACATCCAGTTACAGATGTCCAAGCAAGTCATTTTCACCAGTGGTAAGAGTTGATTCATTCATTGATTAATTAATTAATGAATATTAGTTAAAACTTTCAAATCCAAAAAGTATTGCCTTGATTTTCACTGTTGCAATTTCTGTGATTAGGGAACTCAAGTTGGGATAATCCTAGAAAAAACTGGGAATTACTTTGTGGATGAAAACAATCAAATTGTCTACTATGGTCCAAGAATTGGTTATGTGTACAAGAGGAACATAGTAAATTACAGAGACATCTTCAAGGGAAACAGTGCAGTTTTCACTTTCAGCTTCCAAGGCAAGTTTAACACATTTACTTTGTTTTTATTGAATCACTATACACTGTATTTTGTGTGTATGTGCGTGTGTGCATATGTTTAGATCTTACTCCTGTTGTCAATGGATCAACTCTTCCCCACTTCTCCTCGTGTGTTATGGTATTTTTGCACGCCCTCACTTTGCACGTTTTAAGTTACCTTTAGTTTTTTTTTTTATTTGTGTGTGTGTGTGTGGTTCACGGAGCCCAGTGGATACTCCGATCCCAGGTGGTTGCTGCTCACACCGGGTGCGGCCGCGTGTAGCCTACCCTATATATATATATATATATATATATATATATATATCTCTCAGTGCTGCATTCACATCGTCTAGGAGACGAGGAGGCCGAGGACTAGTGAGTGTGGGAACCACTGTCCAGGATGAAACATCCAAGCTCCTTGAGTACATCAAGGACAAGGCCCCGGCAGATGAGGTGCTCAGAGAATGTCTCAGACAGTGGGGTCCAGAGGAAGAGGTGCTGGAGGGACCATCATGGCAGGACAAACCCCTACATGGGGCATACCACCGGAACATAACTGAAGTGGCTGATATCAAGAAATCCTACCAATGGCTTGAGAGGGCTGGTCTGAAGGACAGCACAGAGGCACTGATCCTGGCTGCTCTGGAGCAGGCCCTGGGCACTCGAGCAATAGAGGCCCAGATCTACCACACCAGACAAGACCCACGGTGTAGACTGTGCAAAGAGGCTCCTGAGACAGTCCAGCACATAACTGCAGGGTGTAAGATGCTGGCAGGGAAAGCATACATGGAGCGACATAACCAAGTTGCGGGCATAGTGTACAGAAACATCTGTGCAGAGTACGGGCTGGAAACCCCAGGATCAAGGTGGGAAACACCTCCAAAGGTTGTGGAGAATGACCGAGCCAAGATCCTGTGGAACTTCCAGATACAGACTGACAGGATGGTGATGGCGAACCAACCAGACATAGTGGTGGTGGATAAGAAACAGAGCAGAGCCGTGGTGGTGGACATCGCAATACCAAGCGATGGTAATATCAGGAAAAAGGAACACGAGAAGCTAGAGAAATACCAGGGGCTCAAGGAAGAGCTGGAGAGAGCCTGGAAAGTAAAGGCATCAGTGGTGCCTGTGGTGATCGGAGCACTCGGGGCTGTAACCCCCCAAACTGGAAGAGTGGCTTCAACAGATACGGGGAAAAACAATGGACATCTCAGTCCAGAAAAGTGCAGTACTGGGAACAGCAAAGATACTGCGCAGAACTCTCAAGCTCCCAGGCCTCTGGTAGAGGACCCGAGCTGAATGAGGGTGAGAGAGACCTACCACCGTGGAAGGTGAGAAACACATTTTTTTTAATTTTTTATATATATATATATATATAGTATGTGCTGATTTGCATCGGTTTTTAGCTTGCATATACTTATACTTTTGTAAATAAATATTGTTAAATTCTTTAAAACGTTTCATTTCCTCATTTTAACCACCACTTGCAGTCCTTACCTGTGTTTTAAGTAGTCTGCTCCATTTGGGTTACACATGTACATGCACTTTCCCGGTTACTGCATTGTAAAGTTCAGTGTGAATGCATCCAAAAGACAAACACTTCTGAAATAATTTCCCGGGTGCCATCTAGTTGTGGCTGCCACCACATCTTCTTTCTTTCTATCTTCTTTAGGCTACTTCCTTAAACTTGAAACTCCACAGACCAAAAGACACGATTGCAACACTCTTCAGTACAAGCCCAGTCCCAGCTAAATCTTTCCTTTAGAACACTTCCTGCTCTGTGGTATGTTAAGATGCTCTGTACGTGAAGAATTTGTAATATGCAGTCCACAAGCCTTTCAGCTTTAATTTCACCCTATTCAGAATGGAAACAGTGCAATGTTATGTCTTGAACACTTCTGCCTCACTCATGGTCAAAATACACTGACCAAGAATGACTTCGGTCACCAGCTAGTCCGAAAGAACACTTTCCGCACCACAATGTATATATAGGGCCCACCTACTGGGAAACGCAGGAAATGCAGGAAAAATAAAACATTAACCAGGTTTATTGCTATAATTTATTCAAGTTCTGTGAGCCGGATTAAATGGTTTAAAGGCGTCTGGGCCGTAGTTCGTCCATCCCTGGACTAGATGATACAGACTGTCATAATTATTATGTTAAAGAAACAGGAAATGTATGGTAACGTTACTGCAAACCTTTTCCAGTAAACCTGATCTGCAAGGCACGTAAAGGCACATATGAGGAAATATGCACGAGGTTGAACAGTGCTCCAACTATAAAAGCCTCAGCAGCTTACTCAGGCATTTGTCCCATCCTTCATTTAATTTAAAGATGAAAGTCTGTGGGATTGTCCTGATGGCCTTGACTGTTGTGGCAGGTAATACTACAATACTGGTAAGTGTTTTTTTATTTTTTTTAATTCTGAACAATTTCAGTGATGGTAAATGCTGACAATCTTTTTAAACAGGAAATCCCAGAAATAACAAGTAAGAAATCTGATGAATTATATTGAGATTCCAAAATTTTGCATAAAATGTAAATAAATAACTGCTTGTTTGTTGTAGTTTTTGGTGATGAAAAGAGCATTTCAGAGATAAACAAGGGTAAATATTATTCTAATATTATTCTAAAAGAGTGATGTTAAAAAAGAAAGCTGTTTACTAATTAACATCCGATTTGTATCTCAAATAAGGTCTAATGGTGGATGACATCAGAACAGTAAGAAAAAAAAGAAAAAAAATAAATAAATATATATATATATATATATACACACACACACACACACATACACACACACACACACACATATATATATATATATATATATATATATATATATATATATATATATATATATATATATATATATATATATATATATATATATTATATATATTATATATATTATTATATATATATATATATATATAAGTTTTAATTATTATTATTTTTACCAGTTAAACATAGCAAGAAGTTCAATTATTCCAGAAACTTCACTTTGGAATTCTCCTGTTCCATATGTTTTGGGAAATGATCTAGGTCAGTTTGATCTTCTTCATCTATATTGTTTATCTTGATCATGTCTGAGCCGACATTGTTATGACAGATCTGAATGCAAAAGGAGTCATCCTGAAAGCCTTCGATCAGTTCAGACTGAAGTCATGCATCGACTTTAAACCGAGGAACAGTGAGGATTACTACATTACTGTGCAAAAACTTGATGGGTAAGTACTGGAGTTAGTTAAAAGACAAAATGTAATGCATTAACTTGACTTTCATTCCAGTTGTTGGTCATACATCGGTCGAAGCAGAATAAATGGACAGGAACTGTCTATTGGACAAAACTGTGACCAGATTGGTATAGTTGAACACGAGTTTTTCCATGCTCTGGGTTTTTACCACGAACAGTCCAGATATGACCGTGATAATTATGTCACTATTCATCTGGAAAACGTTATTGAAGGTTACAGCATGACATTTTTATATACAGCGCATATATATATATATATATATATATATATATATATATATATATATATATATATATATATACACACACATATACACACACACATATATATATATATACATATATATATATATATATATATTATATATATATATATTATTATTTTTATTTATTTTTTTTTTTTTTTCAGGTTTTGAGAATAATTTTGATAAAGTTTCTGCAGACAGTAGCACCACCCATGGCACTGCATATGATTATTGGTCTGTGATGCACTATGGTAAAAATGATTTTTCTAATGGAAATGGTTCCACAATTACTACAAACAACGTGGCATACCAAGACATAATCGGTCAGAGATATGAAGTGACACTGACATTAAAGAGCTAAACCTTCTCTATAAATGCAGTGAGTGCTAATTATTTGTATGTCGTTACAATGGAGAAGTCAAATGGTTTGATTAATAAATACAAGCCATTTCACAGACTCCACCATCGCATTTCTAATGCACTGTAGTTTTTCTGATGGAACCATGTGTGAAATGACCAAATGCTCAAAAACATTAAATGGTTGGAAAATCGTGTCGCAAACTGATGGACAACCTTCCTTTGACCACACAAGTCTAAACTCTACTATGCACAGTAAGACATATTTCATTTTTTGTTTTATTTGTCCTCAAATCTGAAAACTAGAGATACACAGAATATAGATGGCACTCTACATTCCTCAGAGAGCAATAGATTTATGTTTAACTTTATCATTATTTATTTACTGACAAATACACAAATTACAGGTGTAGGCCCAAGTTACTTTATGCATGTGAGCACTGCAACTGGACTGGAGGGAGACTCAGCCTGGCTGGAAACCAAGAGGATGACGCCTAAAAGGGAGTGCCATGTCCAGTGTCTGCAGTTCTACTACTTTCACAGTGGAAGTGTATCAGACCAGCTCAACATCTGGTTCAGAGAGTTTCAAGATGAGCATGATGTCACAGGACAGCGCCATCTAGCTGCACAGATAACAGGTACTGCATTAAGCAATATAAAAATATATATATTATTATTTATTTGTAGGAGGAAATACCAGTGAATTTCTATATCTTTTTAGGTCAGTTAACATCGCACTGGCAGCTGCATCATGTTTCCTTAAATGCAACAAAGTCCTTCCAGGTAGAGTTTGAAGTGAGAAAAGGAGCTGGAAATTCTACAGGTGGCATCTCAATTGATGACATCAATTTGTCAGAACTGGAGTGTCCACATGTTACGCTGCAGATAAATGATTTTGAACAAAGTTCAGGAAAGAGTCGTGTGTACTACACCCCATCTCAGCAATCTAAAGAAGGCTATGTGTACAGATTTGGAGCAATAGTCTATGAAAGTGGTTCAGAGGCAGTGTTTGTGCAGATGTTATCTGGCAACTTTGATAATCTGCTGGAATGGCCTGTCCCACGCAGACAGGTAGTTTTGCAATTTGTAGATCAACATCCCAACATCCAGTTACAGATGTCCAAGCAAGTCATTTTCACCAGTGGTAAGAGTTGATTCATTCATTGATTTCAAATCCAAAAAGTATTGCCTTGATTTTCACTGTTGCAATTTCTGTGATTAGGGAACTCAAATTGGGATAATCCTAGAAAAAACGGGAATTACTTTGTGGATGAAAACAATCAAACTGTCTACTCTGGTCCAATAATTGGTTATATGTACACAAGGAACACAGTAAATTACAGAGACATCTTTAAGGGAAACAGTGCAGTTTTCACTTTCAGCTTCCAAGGCAAGTTTAACACATATATTTTATTTTTAATTTTATTGTAATTTCATCAAATCACTATACACTGTAATTTAGGTTTGCTTTTTTAGATCTTACTCCTGTTGTCGATGGATCAACTCTTCCCTGTCCTGAGCTACAGATGATGACTCTTACAGCTCCTCAAATGGAACAAGACTTGGGCCCATGTTCTGCACAGTAGGTTAATTTATTTTGTGTTCATACAGTTGGGTAACTTTGTTTTTCATCATTTTTTATCGTTTATCATCTTTGGTAGAATCTCCACATCCACTCACGCAACTACTACATCGTCAAGTGTTGTAACTACACCTTCAAGTACTTCAACAAAACATATAGCTACATCTACACTATCAACTACTGCAACACCAGCAAGTACTAGAATAGTAACATCAAGTACTGCAACAATGGCGTCAAGTATGACAACACCACCCTCAAGTACTACAACAACCCCATCTAGTTCTACAACTACACTGTCAAGTACTAATACAACATTGTCAAGTACTTCAACAATACTCTCTAGTGCTTCAACAACACCATCAAGTGCTACAACAACACCGCCAAGTACTTCAACACCATCTTCAAGTACTACAATACCATTGAGTACTTCAACAACATTGTTAAGTACTTCAACAACAGCTTTGAGCACTTCAGCAACACCATTAAGTACTACAACAATGCTGTCAAGTACTACAACACCACCCTCAAGTACTAAAACAACACCATCTAATGCTACAACAACACCATCAAGTTCTTCAACAACACCATCTAGTACTACACAAGCAGCTTCTAGTGCTACAAATACACCATCAAATACTACAGCAACACTGTCAAGAACTACAACACGACCCTCAAGTACTACTACAACACCCTCAAGTACTACAACAACACTGTTGAGTACTACAACAACACTGCCAAGTACTTTAACAACTGCCTCAAGTACTTCAACAACACTGTCAAGTACTACAACACCGGCAAGTACTACAACATCAAGTACTGCAACAATGCTGTCAAGTACCACAACACCACCCTCAAATACTACAACAACACCACCACAAAGGACTTCAACAGAATTGTCAAGTACTAATACAACATTGTCAAGTACTTCAACAATACCCTCTAGTACTTCAACAACACCATTAAGTACTGGAACAACAAGGGCAAGTACATCAATAACAGTTTCAGGCACTTCAACACCGCCCTCAAGTACTACAACATCACTAAGTACTTCAACAAAATTGTCAAGTACTACAATACCATTGAGTATTTCAACAACATTGTCAAATACTTCAACAATAGCTTTGAGCACTTCAGCAACACCATCAAGTACTACAACAATGCTGTCAAGTACTACAAATACACCATCAAATACTACAGCAACACTGTCAAGAACTACAACACAACCCTCAAGTACTACTACAACACCCTCAAGTACTACAACAACACTGTTGAGTACTACAACAACACTGCCAAGTACTTTAACAACTGCCTCAAGTACTTCAACAACACTGTCAAGTACTACAACACCGGCAAGTACTACAACATCAAGTACTGCAACAATGCTGTCAAGTACCACAACACCACCCTCAAATACTACAACAACACCACCACAAAGGACTTCAACAGAATTGTCAAGTACTAATACAACATTGTCAAGTACTTCAACAATACCCTCTAATACAACAACACCATTAAGTACTGCAACAACAAGGGCAAGTATATCAATAACAGTTTCAGGCACCTCAACTCCGCCCTCAAGTACTACAACATCACTAAGTACTTCAACAAAATTGTCAAGTACTACAACAACACCATTAAATACATCAAAAATAGCTTCAAGTAGTTCAACAACACGCTTTGGAACTACAACCCTACTGTCAAGTACTTCAACAGCACCTTCTAGTATTTCAACAACAACTTCAAATACTTCAACAATAGCTTCTAGTACTATAACACCACCCACAAGTACTACAACAACACCCTCTAGTGTTACAACTACTCCTTCAAATATGACAGCAAACCTGTCGAGAACTACAACACCACCCTCAAGTACTACAACAACACCATCCAGTTCTACAACTACACTGTCAAGTACTACAACAACACCGTTAAGTACTACAACAACACTGCCAAGTACTTTAACAACTGCCTCAAGTACTTCAACAACACCCTCTAGTGCTACAACTACATTCTCAAGTACTACAACACCGACAAATACTTCAACAACAACACCAGGTACTTCAACAACACCCTTGAGAACTTCAACAACAACTCCAAGTACTATAACAACACCATCTGGTACTATAACACCATCAAGTACTACAACAACACCCTCAAGTACTTCCACAACAGCTTCTAGTACTTCAACAACACCATCAAGTATTACAACAACACCTTTAAGTACTACAACACCACCGTCACGTACAACAACAACGCTGTCAAGTACTATAACAACACCATCAAACACTACAACAGAACCATCTAGTGCTACAGCTATACTGTCAAATACTTCGACAACACCATTAAGTACTACAACAGTACGGTCAAATACTACAACAGCACCAGCAAGTACTTCAACAATACCCTCAAGAACTTCAACAACAACTCTAAGTACTTCAAAAACACCATCTAGTGCTACAACTACACTGTCAAGTACTAAAACAACACCCGAAA